AATTCCAAGTTCAAGCACAAAAAGGCATCACTCCTACGACCGAAAAAAAGGCATCACTCCATGAAACCTGAATTTTGCTTAAAGTCGAATAATTTTATGTTCCTTGACCCAACTTCAAGATGTAACAGGATGATAGATGATAATTACTTGGAGGGTAGCGCCCCCTATTTAAATAGTTTTTTTTTAATTCACTTGTTACTATTAACACTAAGCTCTCAAATACAAGAGAAAGGACAGAGTTTGTTGCTAAACAAACTCCTACTCACTAGGCAAACACATCTCTGCTAAACCAACTCCTACAAGCCCACGTCAGACCAAGTCCAAAAAGCAACGAAATTTTATCCAATTATTCAAATTGTAAAACAAATGGGAAGATTTGAAATGAAGCCACATACCATAACGTCAAATTGCTCGGGCTTCGAAACAAGTTGCATGCAGCAATTGTCCACAATAATCTCGTTGTACTTGATACTTGGGTACTTGGTAGCAATCTCTCTACAAGACTCTAAGAACAACCCATCTGCCAACTTCATAATGTTGGCTTTGTGCACAGCAGTCACCTTTTTTCTGTTGTTCAGATACGCATACTCAAACGCATACTTGGCAATTCGCTCTGAGCAAAACTTCGTGATCACCTAACCAAATTCAAAATCAAATCCCAATTTTTCCCAAAAACACAAACCCACAAAAATTCAAGAGTAAAGAATTGATTTTTGACAGGTTATCATACCTTGAGGCTCTCAACGACGCCGGGGACGACCTCGTGCTCGAGCCCCGAGTATTCGCCCTCGGTGTTCTCTCTAATTACGACAATGTCCACGTTCTCGTGGCGGGTGGGGAGACCGGGGAGGTTGAAGCAGTTGACCAAGGAAGCGTACAAGTCGAGCTCTTTCCTCAGCTGGACGTTGAGCGAGCTCACACCCCCGCCGACTGGAGTCTTCAAGCCGCCTTTCAGGCAGACCTTGTTCTTCCGGATCGACTCGATCACCTCCGAAGGCACCCGCTTCAGATCGCCGTGGACGTCGTACCGCTCGAAGTACACCGGAGCGTGCATCGCCTCCATGACCTGCTCGACGGCGTTGGTGACGAGCGGGCCTATGCCGTCGCCGGGGATCAGGGTGACGGGCCGCGGGGCTCCGTCGCCGGGTCGGGGCATGTAGGTGACAGATCTTGTGTTCGGGTCGGGTTTGGGGAGGAAGGGTCCGGGCGTGGGGCGGTGGGTGAGGTTTTTGAGGATCGGGAGGA